CCTTATCTTCTGGAGTGTCGGCTATTCCTGCCAGTTTGGTGTCATCTGCAAATTTGATGAGTTCCCCATCTATCCCCTCGTCCAAGTTATTGATGAAGATGTTGAAGAGTACTGGGCCTAAAACAGAGCCTTGGGGTACCCCACTGCATACTTCCCTCCATGTAGATTATTATTATTATTATTATTATTATTCGAATTTCTATACCGCCCTTCTCCTTTCGGACTCAGGGCGGTGAACAGCCAAAATAAAAACATTTATACATAAATACGATTAAAAATAGATTTAAAATAATTAAATTTTGCCCATAGTTTAAAATTTATCAATTTAAAATCCATATCAAAATTTAAAACCAACCATAAAATCATAAAATCAAGAGAGACCGGCTAACTGAAAGAGATGAGTTTTTAGGGCCCGACGAAAGGTCCGGAGGTCGGAGATCACTCGTATCTCTGGGGGTAGATTGTTCCAAAGGGTAGGTGCCACCACAGAGAAGGCTCTCCTCCTGGGGGTCGCCAGCCGGCATTGTCTAGCCGACGGCACCCTGAGGAGGCCCTCTCTGTGGGAGCGAACTGGCCGGTGGGAGGCAATTGGTGGCAGAAGGCGGTCCCGTAAGTACCCCGGCCCTAAGCCATGGAGCGCTTTAAAGGTGGTCACCAACACCTTGAAGCGCCTTGAAGATGCAGTTCCAAATATATTCCAAATCTATCTGGACCTGTACCAGTCGGACTTCAGGCAGGGGTACAGCACAGAAACGGCATTGGTCGCGTTGGTGGATGATCTCTGGAGGGCTCGGGACAGGGGTTGCTCCTCTGTCCTTGTCCTGTTAGATCTCTCAGCGGCTTTTGATACCATTGACCATGGTATCATGCTGCAGCGGTTGAGGGGGTTAGGAATAGGGGGAACCGTTTTGCGGTGGTTCTCCTCCTTCCTCTCCGACCACTCGCAGTTCGTGTTGACAGGGGGGCAGAGGTCGACTTCAAGGCGCCTTGCATGGGGAGTGCCGCAGGGGTCAGTCCTCTCGCCCCTTCTGTTCAACATTTATGTGAAGCCGCTGGGTGAGATCATCCATGGTTTTGGGGTGAGTGTCCATCTGTACGCTGATGATACTCAGCTGTACATCTCCACCCCAGACTACCCCAACGATGCCCTTGATGTGATGTCTCGCTGCCTGGAGGCCATGCGGGTCTGGATGGGGAGAAATAGGCTCAGACTCAACCCCTCCAAGACCGAGTGGCTGTGATTCCCGGCATCGCGATATAGTCAGCTGGTGCCATCGCTGACTATTGGGGATGAGTCTTTACCCCCCACAGAGAGGGCCTGCAATCTGGGCGTCCTCCTGGATGCACGGCTGTCTTTAGAAAAGCATATGACGGCCTTGTCTGTCCTTGTGTTTTTAATTAGGCTGTACACCGCCCTGAGTCCTTCGGGAGAAGGGCGGTATAGAAATAGAATTAATAAATAATAATAAAATAAATATTTAAGGTGTATTCATCCTCAAGTCTGTTCCGGAATTGGCCTTTTCCCATATGTTATGGATCAGCATTTTATGCTCCTCAATCCTTTGAGATTTAAGCCATGATTTTTATTTTAAACAATTATACACAAAACGTTTACATTACCGGGGCCAAAAACGTTTACAGCTTTCTGACAGTTACCAACAGATTGACAGAGAGATTCAGGTATGAAAGAAAAAAAACAATTTTTATGTGTCTGTTGCACACAAAAAATGTTGGTCTGATCAATAACCATGATTTTTTTTTTGCCTTTATTAGATAATCATCCCTATCTCATCCCTATCATCCCTATCATTTATTCAGAAGGGAATGGAGACCCAAAAATCTCATTCATCAGCTTTTTTCTTTTTCTTTAGAGTTGCTTGCACTATGCTGGAGAACTTGGGATCTTGTGGGAGTATAACATCATTGATCTTGGTCTATCTGGAAAGTACAGGTAGTCCTTGACTTATGACCATAATTGAGCTCAAAATTTATGTTGCTAAGAAGATGGTATTTGTCTTTCCCTCTTTCTTGCCATATTTAAGTGAATCACTGCAGTTGTTAAGTTAGTAACATGGTGTTCTCCCCCAGCTACGGATCCCAAAGAACACAGCACACACAAACTCTGAACAAAACTTAGTTTACTCAAATAACGCAGTTTTAGCAAATGCCGGCTGTTAATAAGCATTCTTAACAGCCTGCCAGAATTCCACAGATAAGATAGTCAGAGTCTTACTGGAGTTGGCAGAAAGCCCAGAAGCAAGGTTGCAGAGAAATCCCAACGCGATGATTAGCGAACTAAAGTTGTTTCCTGCAGCTTCTTACAAGCTGCGTTCTTTCTTAAGGGCTAAGGGCATGGCCAATTAGCCCCAAGCCTTACTCTCGAGGAGACCTCCTCCTGAGGAACTACTCCTGCCTTTTGGCAGGTCTACGTGCCCGTGCATTGAGAAGAGGCTCCTCCTCTTCATCCTCTTCACTTAAGGGAGCCTCTGGAGATTCTGAAGGCCCTGGCTGAATCCCCGCCTCTGGCACCACATCTTCTCCAGCCTCCTCGCTGTCCGACTCAAGTGCCGGCTGCACAGGCTGATGGCGCAGCACCACACCAGCCTCCTCGTCATCGGGATCAGCAACAATCCGCGCAGGCTGCTGGCGGGCCACAACACATGGTTGTAAAGTGTATCTGGCTTCCCCATTGATTTTTGCTTCTCAAAAAAAGGTCACAAAAGGTGATCACATGACCTTGGGACACTCAACCACCATCAATACAGGCCCGTTGCCAAGCGCCCAAGTTTTGATCACATGACCACGAGAATACTGCAACTGTTTTTTTATAAGGGTGAAAACAGTCATAGGTCACTTTTTTCCATGCTGTTTTAACTTCAAATGGTCACTAAATGAATGGTTGTAAGTCAAGGACTGGCTTTAATGAGAATTGAACTCCAGCAACATTGCTGGAAGATGACAGATCTCCCATCCCTGTTGAACAAATACTTACCCCAATTGGCTTAGTAATTAGTAATGACCCAAAAAAATGGTGTAATAAACTAATAGCATCAGGGTGAATACTAAGCATGATCTTATACATAAAATCTGCTTTCTTTTGTAGGAAGTTAGCACTCAGCCCTCTCCTAGAAGAATGAAATATTTTAGGAAATATTAAAAAGGCAGAATATTATATTTCCCTGGATGAGAAATTGAGAAAAATGTTTTAAAGAAAAAGCAGCTTCCTGCCTCTCACCACCTTTGTCGATGGGCCATTAAGGCCTCAGCCAAGCTCATTCATTCCCCCCACCTTTTTCAATGGACCATCATCTGCAACACAATAGGACCCATCTAGCAACAGAAACTCACCACATAGCACCTGGGAAGATTACATCAGCCAGCAAGGCTAGCTAAGACCCCCACCCCGAAAGTCTGACAACCAATCAGGATACTCTTCCTGTGCCCCAGGAAGTTCAAAGTTCAGAGAGAGCATAAAACCAAGGCACGCTAAGCATCTCGGCCCTTTTCTGCTCAGGAACTCAAACCATGTGATCCTGTCCACCATTAAACCATCTTTCCAAGCAGTCCCCATGTTTCCAGTGTCTTTTCCCCCACTTGGAACTGAACCCCGATGGATATTTCTTCCAACACTTTTAAAGTTACACAATGATCTTGCCAGTTCACGGGGCATTCCTTCCATTATTTTTGTCCTAAAAAACGGGGGAAAAAGAGGCACTTCCTATTCCTCTCCCCAGCCTCCCCAATTAACAAGGAGGAAATAAAAATACTTGAAAGCTGACCCTTCTTTTATTTGAAAGCTACTCTATTTTGAGGGCTTTTAGCACGTTGCAGTAATGTATCCAGGAAATGAAAGTATTTCTTGATGGAAGGCAAAGCCATTCCCACAATTAAATGGCGTGAGCTAATTTTCTTTAAAAAAAGAAGAAGGTATGATTACTCATCACTCTAATGAGACAACATTATTGCTGCGAAAAATGTCAGGGGGAAAAGAGTCAAACCAGAAAATCAGCTGTCTAAAATTACTCTCTGAGAACTTTTTCATTAGTTTTTGCAACAGATCCATTAGCAAAGGATGTTGAAGTTGCCCAGTAGTGGGTTGCAAATCCCACCACTACCAGTTCGCTTGTGACCGCGCACTCGCGTGCATGCGCGATGCTTCTGCGCATCCAGGCGGGTGGGCAGAGCCTCCCGCTGCCACTACCGGTTCGCCCGACTCGGGGTGAACCAGTAGCAACCCGCCACTGAAGTCGCCGCCATCTTGGAATCTCAATTCCTCCCCCCTCCGGTACAAACAGTTTCCCCAAATTGTTCTTCACGCTATGGCTGGGTTCATATGAACCATAAACTACTGTGTGAAAACCACACGCTATTGTATGAATACCATTTTGTGAAAACCAGATTATAAATTAACAATGGGAGGTTTGTTTATAATTCACACAATCATTTCTGTAGGACAAACGGAAATGAAACAGCTTTGTAAACTATGGATCAGTGTGTTGTGTAAACACAGCTGAAGTCCCTCTAACTTACTAACCGAAAAAAGGTGAAAACAGCTGTAAACTCATTAAATGGCTAAATAATGAAGCGATAGAAACCAAAAACATCAGAATATGTCTTTTCAAGTCTGTGTTTTCACAGTGCTCTAGTCCAAAATGTCTTTGGATAGTTAATGGCTTATTTTGAGTGGTGGGATTCAGCCAGTTTGCACTTATTCGGGAGAACCAGTTGTTGGAAGAAATCTTATTTTGTTTTTCCCCCACTTTACAGGGCTAATCCTGTAAGGAAGGCAGGAAGGAAACATTCTGGTGTTGATTCTAGCCTAATCTTTATTGCCCTGTTTACAGAAACTGCCTCTCTGATTAACCCTTATTACATTGTAACAGCTAAGGCGAAGCGTCCATCGGTGTCAGTGATGTTGAGTTGGCCACGCCCACACAGTCACATGACCACCAAGCCATGCCTACCCAGCTGGTCATTAGGGCAGAGAACCGGTTGTTAAATTATTTGAATCCCACCACTGTTTATTTTGTAGTATGAATCTGGCCAATCTGGAAAATTTATCTTACAGTTCAGTTAAACAAACAAACAATCAAACAAAACAAACAAACAAAACAAAACAAACAAACAAACAAAACAAAACAAACAAACAAACAAACAAATAAACAAACATAGAATATTGAGTTAACTTGGGCAACCAGAGGTCAGTTAACCACGTTTGTGTGCTGGGATGTGGCAGTCATTATCTCTCCAAAGAAAGACATGATTTTAGTGTCATCTGCTATTGTGGCACCTTCACAACTTGTTAATCATGTACACTGGCCATTTCCACACTGCAATAGCCAGCAATTTGCACAGTGATTGTTTCAAGGAACTAAATTAGCCAATAAACCTTACTTGTGTAAACTTTGGGTAGAGCAAGGGTGTCCAACCTTGGCAACTTAAAAACCTGTGGACTCCAACTCCCAGAATTTTTGGAGTTGAAGTCCACAGGTTTTAAAGTTGCCAAGGTTAGACACCCCTGGTGCAGAGATCCCAAACCAGAAAGGAAGGAAATTTTCCAGAAGGGAAGAGTTTCTTGGAAATTTAGCACTGAAGAAGGACGAGGAGAAGTTGTTTTAAATCAACAAAATTATCTCCTCCATGGTTTCATTACGATGCAACTTGGGGTTCACATTTTGTGTTCCAAAACCACACCTTCTTTTTCCAACTTCCACGTCCTTGTCCCAGACTTGACATGGCACTGCACAATTTTAACAAGCCCTGTTATTTATGAATTTTCAGGACCACCATATTTCACCCAGGAGCCATATCACAATCTCAGTTGGATCATTAATGGGAACTTCTCAGATATCTTCCTCAGGATTTTGAACTTAGACTGAGTTCCAGATTCTTCTTTCTGAAGCGATGCTAATGTCAATCTCTAATCCCAATGACTGGCAAGAGGTTTGGCTTGATCAAGGAATAGTACGGTTAGGAGTTCCACAGTTTGCTCATAATGAGTCCGCCATTTGCACTCATGTCTGCATGAGCATCCAAGATAATTTTCAAAAAGGAGTATCTCCAGTGACTTGCATCTCCTTGTGAGAGGACACTTCTGTCTTTGGACTGATATTGGACAATTTAATGTCAGATACTTCTCCAGTTTTAATGTCGTTCATCATTTGATTGCCTTGCCTGCAACGTTTTATGATTAAAGTACAAAGGATGATATAAAGAAAGAAGCTTCCAAATCTTAGTGCAGTAACGACCCCTAGGTAGACGTTTCTAGGAAAAAAAACACAGAGGGAGAACAAGCTGAGTTGGAACAGAGCAGAAATGTTTCCCAGAAGAAGAGGTCTAGCATCTTCACCTTTGGAGATCAATCACAGCCTTTCAAAAGAAGTCAGAAGATTCAGAAACTACGGTATTCACATATCAGGCAGTCATGTTTTGTCCAATAATGGTTTATTTAATAAACCACAATTAAAGAGGTCCATATCAGAATGTTAACAGTGGCTAAGTTCCATACTGCAGTCTGCCTAGTTTGGGTTTAGTGTGTTGTATGAACCGAGACTAAAATTATGGAGCTATGCTGCAGTCTCCCCTCTTTCATTACTGAATTGTGTTCTCATATTCCTTTTCTTTCCTGTCCATGTCTTTCTGTCAGTGTTCTTGCCCTTGTCCTTTCCTCCCTCCCTCCCTCCCTCCCTCTCTCCTTCCCATCCATTCATCCATCCATCCATTCATCTCTCCCTTACCTCTTTGCTTCCTGCCTTCCTTTTTTCCATCCATCCATCAACACTCTCTTTGTTTTCCTTCCTTCCTTCCTCCCTCCCTCCCTCCCTCCCATCCATCCATCCATCCATCCATCCATCCATCCATCCATCCATCACCTCTTTGCTTCCTGTCTTCCTTTTTTCCATCCATCCATCAGCACTCTCTTTATTTTCCTTCCTTCCTTCCTTCCTACCTACCTTCTTTCCTTCATTCCTTCCCTCCCTCCTTCCTTCCTTCCTCCCTCCCTCCCTCTCCCCGAAAGCTAACTTAATACAAATAAAAAGACTTGTCAACAGGTGACAGGTATTCTATGAAAGGTCTTCTTCATCCTTATTTAAGGTGTGAAAACAGATTTACTCATCCACACCCAACCCAGCAGACGCTCACAATTTTAGAGCCGTAGACTCGTTTCCTCCCTTGAGGCTTACCTGAATGCTTTGGTATCATATACCCTGCAAGCCCCAGATCCACCACAGGTTTTTACACCCCATTTCAAGCAGGTCTGGTCAATCAAAGCTCCAAAGTAAATCGGTGCAGGAAGCCCTCCTGAAATAGGACAAAAGAAATACACAAGACAGACTTACTCAGCAAGGCTTGAGAGGAACAAAAATTCAGTGGCTGAGTATGTGCAGTGAGAACTTAATGTCTTAGATTAAACTTCTAAAAAAGAAACAAGGAGTAGGAAGTGCTAAGGACTTTAGTTGAAGTCGTATTTCCAGACGGTGCAGGGACTACTGGTTGTATATATAAATGATGTGGCATTGACATCCTGTTCTAACCCTGTCACTCCGGTCACCGCAAATGACATTTACAGGCACATTTTGATCCTCCACTTTCAACATGATGTTCTCCTGTATAAATCACCTGACAGGGGTGGGTTCTAAATTTTTTTACTACCGGTTCTGTGGGCGTGGCTTATTTTGTGGGTGTGGCTTGGAGGTTGTGTGACTAGGTGGGCGTGGCTAGCTGGTCAGTGTCATTTCTGGAAGGTCCTCGCACTTATGACCAGTCCTCGCACTTACGACTCATTTGTTTGCTTTTAACACTGATCAGCTGTAGGGCGGCCCTTTGAAGCCCCGCGGCAAGAGTTTAAACAGGTTTTTTCCCTCTAGTCATCAGCTGGGATTCAGGAGGTAGCAATAGATTGGGGGTGGGACCAAATAAAAGGTAAGAATAACGTGGGGGGGTGGGAGGGCGGGGGGGGAGAACCGGTTCAGTGACGTCATATTGTCACCGCTACCGGTTCGGCCGAACCGGACCGAACCAGGAGGAACCCACCACTGTCACCTGAGCCAGGTGATAAAACTGTCTGGTTCAGCTGGTTCATAGTACAGATGGTCCCTAACCTACAACCAGTAATGGAGTCTGCCTTTTATGGTACTAAGCAGTGGTGGGTTTCAAAATTTTTTACTATCGGTTCTGTGAGTGTGGCTTGGTGGGCGTGGCGTGGCTTGGTGGGTGTGGCTTGGTGGGCGTGGCAGGAGAAAGATATTGTAAAATCTCCATTCCCACCCCACTCCAGGGGAAGGATACTGTAAAATCTCCATTCCCTCCCCAATCCAGGGGAAGGATACTGCAAAATCCCCATTTCCTCCCGATCAGCTAGGACTTGGGAGGCAGAGAATAGATGGGGGCGGGGCCAGTCAGAATTTTTATTACCAGTTCTCCAAACTACTCAAAATTTCCACTAGCGGTTCTCCAGAACTGTCAGAACCTGCTGAAACCCACCTCTGGTACTAAGTCATGACAGTCATAAAGTAAGTTACCACATGACCATTTGTATGATCGTTTTTTTGGGGATGGTGAAGTGACCGCCATAGTTGTAATGCAAACCCATTATGGCCTAATTTTTGCTGAAAGACAGAAGTAAATGCCAATTTTCTACAAAAAAACATTGTAAAATGATGTCATGAGACTACAGGACACTAAAAATGGATGTAAATGTAGGCTGGCCGGGTCATAAGTATCTGAGGGAAGGTCTGTCATAACTTCGAATAGTTGCTAACGGGTTGTAAATTGAGGACTACCTGTAGATGCTCATTTGGTGCCGTTATACATTTTCTTCTTTTTTAATAACTTTACTGATGGAATTCTGAGATGCAAACCCTGGTGAATTCGAGGATCAATCAGGACCGCCGTCTTTTTTATTCTTAAATGACCAATTTGGTTGATTACCAGTTTAGCATTTGTTTTAAAAGAGTGCAGCAGAGGTTTCCCTCATGAAATGTTACAAGCATCTGTGACTATTGCTCACTGTAACATGACATGGAGGACAACGGTAAAATAATGAAATTGATAAATGGTTATGAGCCCCTCCTCTTTTTTATATGTGTGATGGAAAAAAAGGAGCAGGGTTTTGACTGTGTAGGTGTGTCTGCCATTTTGAATTATTTGACTACCGCTTCCCTGTGGATTTGTCTTGGGATTCTGCCAATCAAGAGAAGTTAAGAAGGTGAAGTGACAGGAGCTGCCATCTTGAACTATTTGAGCAGCACTTCCCTATGGTGGGATTCAAGTAATTTAACAACCGCTTCTCTGCCCTAATGATTTCTTCCAACAACTAGTTTGCCAAACTGCTCAGAAAGTTAACAACCGGTTCTCCCGAAGTGGTGCGAACTGGCTGAATCCCACCACTGGTTCTCCTGGAGTTTTGTCAGCCAAGAGAGTGTTGGAAGAAACATCCTTCTGGGTTCTGCTCCAAGTGGGGAAACAGACACTGGAAACATGGAGACTGCTTGGAAAGATGGTTTAATGGTGGACAGGATTACATGGCTTGAGTTCCTGAACAGAAAAGGGCAGATACAGCGAGTTTTTCGAGTTTTATGCTCTCTCTGGCTTTGAACTTCCTGGGACCCAGAAAGAGTACCCTGATTGGTTGTCAGACTCCCAGGGGGTGGGGGGTTTTAGCTAGACTTACTGGCTGATGTAATCTTCCCAGGTGCCATGTGGTGAGTTTCTGTCTAGATGGGTCCCATTGTGTTAGTTTCTGTTGCTATTGTGTTACAAATGTCCTTTGACAAAGGATTGGGTTTCTGCCTCTGGCCCATTAACAAAGGGTGGGGGGCAGGAAGGTGGGAGCTGCTTTGTCTATAAAACATGCTTCTCCATTTTTCATACAGGGAAACATAATATTCTGCCTTCCTAATATTTCCCAAAATATTTCACTCTTCCAGGAAAGGGGCGGGTGCTAACTTCCTACAAGAGATTAAGAAAATGAAGTGACAGTAGCAAGAAATTGTCCAATGGCAGTTTGCAGTCTCTAGACTGAAGAAGCCCAGCCTTTTCAAGTCTAGCCTTTTGAAGAATTGCCAAACTGGTCCAGAGGTTTTGCCTAAACTGAGTTAGACTTAAGCAACAAGAAAAGCTTAAAAGAGTGGAGTGGCTATGCCTTCATCACCAACAGCTTTAAAACAGTTCTCCGGAAATTGACATTATCCTGATCTGTCCTGATGACAGACAATTGAGTGCAATATGTTTAGAAGACAGACGATCAAGCAGTGGTGGGTTGCCCCCGGTTCGCACCAGTTCTATAGAACCGGTAATAAAACCGGAGGGAGGCCCCGCCCACTGACCCTGACGTCATGAAAATGCTTCTGCGCTCGCAGCCCCGTTGCGAACCGGTAGTAAAGGTAAGTAGAACCCACCCCTGCGATCAGGGTATGTTACTCTTAGGATACCACATTACTCAGTTTCTCTCCAAAATTTTAAGCATCTCATGGATAATAGATAAGGTTATCTGCTTAAAAACTAAAATGAAATCGGAATCTATTTACCAAGGACTCTTCCACATAAAGCTTCAATGCCCACCGCAAAAGATTTCAAATCTGGTGAAACCGATCTGAAAAAAGATGAGGGGGAGAAGTTCAAAAGTGAGTTTAGACAAGGAACATTGAAATAAATGCATTCTAGAAGACAGAAAATAAGATTGTAAATATTGGTTGGAAATTTTTTAAAAAATTTTTCTTTTTCTATCATTTCTTTCTGTTTCCCTACCCCCCTTTTTTTCTTTTTTCTTCTATTTCTCTTCTTTCTTTTGCTTTAAATTTGTCTTTTAGTGAGGAAAAATTCTTAATAAAAATAATAATAATAATAAAGAAATGAAATGAAATCCGAAAACAAGCTAGTCAGCATAATTTCCTGGTATGGTTCAGAATTAAAACCAACTGGAATGGTGTGTAATCAAACAGCAACTAAGTACTGACTCAAATTAAGCACAGGCTTAAAGTTCACCCATTGAAAAAAAAACAATCCATCAGCATGAATTAAATATCCTTAAATGCTCATAAACATAAATAAATGTTTTCTTCTTGTCCTATTTGGTAATGTCATTTTAAATCTTTGTATCCTTTTGTAGAATTTTAAAATTCTATTCTAATGTTTAAACAGTGTTGTTATTCATCCTCAAGTCTTTGGATTAAAAATTAAATAAATAAGTGTGGGCGTGATGTGAAATTACAACTTTCGATTTGCGAAAATTGATTTGTGTAACAACAATATGTTTCCATGACTAGAAATTTCACTGGGAACTAGCAATACAATACAATTACAATAGCAGTTGTAAAAAAAAATTTATCATGTTGGATTTCAACAATGCATTACAGGTAGTCCTTGGCTTATGACTATAATGGAGCCTGCAGTCATGACAGATATAAAACAGGTTGGTCCAAAATTGACCCAATTTTAAGACCTTGTTTTGTGACCTGTTGTTAAGCTAAAGCTATGGTTGTAAAGCCACGACTGTGGTCTTGAAGCAAACATTGGATCCTGCAACATTATCCTGGGATACATATATTTACCTTCATTCGTTAAAGCAAACACCATGGTCATAAAACAAATACTTCAGTCATTCAGCAAACGCCACCGTTGTTAAGTCCCAAAGGTGCTTTTTTTTAAAAGGCAACTGGACTTTCTGCCTTTTTTTTTTTTTTGAAGACGTTTCGCTTCTCATCCAAAAAGCTTCTTCAGCTCTGACTGGATGGTGGAGAATAGAAAGAGCTGAAGAAGCTTCTTGGATGAGAAGCGAAATGTCTTCAAAGAAAAGAAGTTGTGAATGCTCCAACACTGGACGTTTTTAAAGAAGAGGTTGGATAACCATTTGTCTGAAGTGGTGAAATAAAATACAGTAATGTGTTTGAAATCTGAGCACTGCCTTTTGACACTTAGAACAGAGGTGGGTTTCAGCAGGTTCTGACCAGTTCTGGAGAACCGGTAGTGGAAATTTTGAGTAGTTTGGAGAACCGGTAGTAAAAATTCTGACTGGCCCCGCCCCCATCTATTCTCTGCCTCCCGAGTCCCAGCTGATCCAGAGGAAATGGGGATTTTATTTTATTTTATTTTATTTTATTTTATTTTATTTTATTTTATTTTATTTTATTTTATTTTATTTTATTTTATTTTATTTTATTTTATTCAATTTATATCCCGTCCTTCTCCAAGTGGACTCAGGGCGGTGCACAGCCAGAACTAAAACACATATCAATACAAAATTTAAAATCATTAAAAGAATTAAATAACTGTGGCCTGAAAATTTAAAACATTGAAAACTAAAACCCCTTTGACAATTTAAAAAGCTAAAAACTAAAAAAAAAAAAAAGGGGGGGGGGGGGGCGCCCCCCCCGCCCGGTGGAAAAAAAAAAATTTTAGGGCACAGCGAAAAACCCGGAGATCCGATATATCCGATATTTTGCAGTAACCTTCCCCTGGAGTGGGGAGGGAATGGAGATTTTACAGTATCCTTCCTCTGCCATGCCCACCAAGCCACGTCACGCCCATCAAGCCACGCCCACAGAACCGGTAGTAAAAAAATTTGAAACCCACCACTGACTTAGAAGGAACTTCAAAACAAGCAACGAATGGAAGGGTATGATTTTACGGTATTTTTTACAGTATTATTTTTTACAGTAATTTTACAGGATTACACCAGTTTGCCCCTCCGCCCCCGTCGTGCTTTAAAAAAGGATGAAAGAAAGAATGAAAAAGTCTTCACCTAAACATAAGCATATACGTTGGCGTTCCTCCCAAAGATAAGATAAATGCAGTTATGGACAACAACACTAAAAAGTAAGGGAATTCTTTTGTACAATTATCCCTTGGACATTGACCCAGAACTGCAGAAAAATTACCAGCTCCTGAAACTCCTAGACAACTGCAGTTTTGAAATACCTGCAAGACAAAAGAAAACTGAAGTAAGTGTTTGGAATGGCCTTCGTTTCCAAATCTCTATCTGCGTGATTGTTTGCAAGCAATGTAATTAATGGTGTCTAGGAATGTTAATTATTTCCAAAGTAACAGAATAACTGAGTTGGAAGAGATCTTGGGGGTCTTTTACTCCAACCGCTGCTCAAGCAGGAAACTCTATACTATTTCAGACAAATGGTTGTCCAATCTCTTCTTAAAAGTCTCTAGTAATGGAGCACCCACAACTTCTGGAGGCCAGTTGTTCCGCTGATTAATTGTTCTAACTGTCAGGAATTTTCTCCTTAGTTCTAGGTTGCTTCTCTCCTTGATTGGTTTCCATCCATTTTTTTTTTTTTAATTTGATTTATATGCCGCCCTTCTCCGGAGACTCAGGGCGGCTTACAATGCGCTAAGCAATAGCCTTCATCCTTTTTGTATATTTATACAAAGTCAGCTTATTGCCCCCACAACTGGGTCCTCAATTTACCTACCTTAGAAAGGATGGAAGGCTGAGTCAACCTTGAGCCTGGCGAGATTCGAACCTGCAGTAATTGCAGGCAGCTGGTCTTAATAACAGGGTGCTTTAGACCACTGTACTACCAAGGCTCTTTCTTGTCTTGCCTTCAGGTGCTTTGGAGAATAGGTTGACCCTCTCTTCTTTGGGACAGCTCCTTAAATATTGGAAGACTGCTATCATGTCACCCCTAGGCCTTCTTTTCACTAAACTAGACATATCCAGTTCCTGCAATCGTTCTTCATATGGTTTAATAATTGCTATGTTTTCATCTGTCCTCAGATTCTTCCAAGCAGAATCCAAGGAGAATTAGAGACATGCTTCCTAAATTATTGATGATTAATTCCAGGGATTTATTTTAAAAAGGGGAATAATGCAACGTGTCCCTTGACCTTGTGTGACATAGGGTCAATCAGGAAAGCCAATTGCGTTCTCTAAACCTTTGAGAAGAAAGAGTCCATTTTCTTTGGTTGCATGACAAGTTCTCCTTGCTATTTAACCTTCCCTCCAGCAATTCTAGTAATTATTGTTGAAAGAATGGAAGAAGGATGCTCATGGGAGAGATCAGGATGATCTGCAACTCTGCTATTGAACGTAAAAAAAGAGGTAAGGCTTTGTACAATTGCTGACACCATGTTGGTCCTTGATGCTCTCTGAGCTTGGTTATTTTCTTGCAGATTAATTACCCAACTAGGTAACATTATCAGGGGTAGAAGGGAGTGGGTATTCTATTCTATTCTATTCTATTCTATTCTATTCTATTCTATTCTATTCTATTCTATTCTCATTCCATTCCATTCGTAGCTCAAGATTGAACTTTGGAGTCCTTGATGCTTAGTGGTTTTCCTGAAGACGTTTCATTATCCAACTAAGTAACATCATCAGTGTGAGTGAGTGTGGGGTTTGCTCTCTTCTGTCAACCATATTGACTTGTTTTATCCTTTATTGCCATATGGAATCTTCTTCTGGATTTCCAGGAAGTTGGTGGAAAAGTCAGAAGAGACTATTATGCCATTAGCTCCAACAACATGACATTCAGCATGAAGTTGCCTAGAATCGCTTTGGGCAGTGAGACGGGCGGCACATAAATTTAATAAATAAATAAATAAAATAAATGTCAAGGGAAGCCACACCAATGGGGAACTTTGAACAAGCTTGGATAGAAGTGAAGCACCCCTGTGAACATTTGCCCAGATCTAATATTCTGTGACTTGCTCATTTTTCAGGAAACTAAGAACTTGTTGATTTATTGATTCAATTTATATGCTGCCCATTTTTCCTAGAAGGTGTCTCTAAAAATAGATAGATAGATAGATAGATATGATCTAGAGATAGATAGATAGATAGATAGATAGATAGATAGATAGATATAGAGATAGATAGATATAGATGATAGATAGATCGATAGATCGATAGATCGATAGATCGAGATAGATCGAAATAGATGATAAATATAGATGATCTAGGTAGATAGATAGATAGATAGATAGAGATGATCTAGATATAGATAGATAGATGATAGATAGATAGATAGATGATAGATGATAGATGATAGATGATAGATGATAGATGATAGATAGATAGATAGATAGATAGATAGATAGATAGATGATAGATAGATCAATAGATCGAGATAGATCAAAATAAATGATAAATATAGATGATCTAGGTAGATAGATAGATAGATAGATAGATAGATAGATAGATAGATAGATAGATATGATCTAGAGATAGATAGATAGATAGATAGATAGATATAGAGATAGATAGATATAGATGATAGATGATAGATAGATCAATAGATCGATAGATCGAGATAGATCGAAATAGATGATAAATATAGATGATCTAGGTAGATAGATAGATAGATAGATAGAGATGATCTAGATATAGATAGATAGATGATAGATGATAGATGATAGATGATAGATGATAGATAGATAGATAGATAGAGATGATCTAGATAGATAGATAGATAGATAGATAGATAGATAGATAGATAGATAGAGATGATAGATAGAAAGAAAGATATAGATATGATAAATATAGGTGATAATAGATGATAGATAGATAGAGATAGATGTTAGATAGAGATAGAGATAGACTGACAGACAGACAGACAGACAGAGATAATGAGAACATATTTCCTTTCCATTGTAGGGATATAGTATAACATTTCTGCATTTACCAAATCCTTTCCACTTCCCACGGATGTTTTGCAGCCAGCTAAACATGGGTTCATGTAGGTGATACCGTTGTCTCCACAAACTGGGTCCCAGTGGGTCGCTTCACAGCCGCAGTTAGAGTTGCAGGCAGATAACGGCTTCTCTTTGGAAAAGGACACTTCTTCGATGCTAAAAGAATAGTGATGGAGCCGTCATCAATCCAAAGAGGGAAAGATAGACCTATTCCCAGCCAAAACAATCCCATTCGTGCATAAGAGGGAAGAAACTGTTGCAGAAGGATAACAAAGTGCTGGAAAACAACCCGATGCAAGATAGAAGGATCCCAAAACAGACCAATAAGACTGAATTCTCCCAGAAATAACACTCTTGAATCTGTTGGACTGATGATGTGCCCGCCACCCCCACCCAATGCTGTGCTTTAATTTACTTTGTACCTTTTTATGGGAAAATCATCCCAGGGAAAGAGGTTTGTGTTTTCTACCTTATCCTCGGGATGATTGAGGATTCTTTTCCAAATTCTCTCTCAGTGATTCCCCACCCCACTCCGCCCTCAGTTTATGGATAATCCTCGACTTACAACCACACAGTGAAAGCTGCCCATTATGATCATAAGTCACAACGGTTGTAAAATGGGTTGGTCGCGTGACCGATCAGATTTTACTACCTTTTTATGGTAGTTAAGTGAACACCGCAGTCATTAAGTGAAATCATGGTTTGTTATGGACTCAGTTTTTCCCAAAAACCAGAAATGCTGAACTGAGATCATGTGACCGGAGGGGGACAATTGTCAGAACTTCAGATGCTGGTCATAAGGCCTCTTTTTGATTTGTTTGTAACTGAATGGTTGGTTATAAATCAAGGACTAGCTCAGTGGTGAGATTCAGCCGGTTCGCTCAGTGATGGGATTCAGCCAGTTCGCAGCAGTTCAGGCAAACCAGTTGTTAAATTATTTGAATCCCACCACTGGACTAGCTGTAGTTTATTGTTAGAGATGGTGGTTAGCATTTGCTAGTGTTGTTATTTTCTGATTCTCTTCTAGTCATCAATCTGAAGCTTCTGGATAGGGGGAAAAAAATCTGATTGGAAGAATTCCTACTGGGCTTTTTCCAAATTGAAAAAGAGAGATTTCAAAAGGACAAGTGTCCGGGAAGCCACTCTACATTCGCAAGTGTGTGGCTCTAGTGTCCCTGACTCCTTAGTTCCTTGGGAGCTATTGACCACAATGGGCAATAAGGCGGCGAGGTATAGATCAGGAGTCTCCAAACATGGGAACTTTAAGACTTGTGGACTTCAACTCCCAGAATTCCCCAACCAGCCATGCTGGAAGGATGGAAGGCTGAGTCAACCTTGAGCCTGGTGAGATTCGAACTGCCAAATTGCCGGCAGTCAGCAGAAGTCGCCTGCAGTACTGCCTTCTAACCACTGCGCCACCGTAGCTCTAAAACATGCATTCACTGCCTCTTCTTCCCATCACTCCCCAAAAGAGGAATCAGGTCACAAACCCAGAATAGTTGACGGTCAAACCAGCCACTTGAAGCACTTGGCAACTGGCACCAAAGTAAAACAGGTTTAACAGGAAGCCTGTCACGAAGGTGATACAGGCAAACTTTGCCATGGCCGCGATGTGCAGTTTGAACTTCTTGATGATAAAACCTCCCAGGAACATCCCCACAATGGTGATAGGTAAGACGATCACACCTACGAGGGAAAGGGAGCAATGACATCATCACACGCGACACTGAACACAAAACACATTTCCTTCTTCAGAATAACAGTTACCATAAACCACTGCCAGGAGTACCGGGAGTCCTCGACTTACAACCATTTGTTTGGTGAGCATTCCAAGTTACAACGGCACGGAAAAAAGGGACTTATGACCATGTTTAACGCTAACGACCCTTTCAGTATCCCCGCAGTCACTTGATCTGGAAAACTGACTCACATTTATGACAGTTGCAATGTCCCGCGGTCATGTGATCCCCTTTTGCAAACTTCTGAGGAGCAAAGGCAATGGAGAAGCCAGAATCACAACAACTGGGCAGTGGTGAGATTCAGATAATTTAACAACCAGTTCTCTGCCTTAATAGCCGGCTGGGTAGGCGTGGCTGGGTGGGCATGTGACTGGGTGGGCATGGCCAATTCAACATCACTCATGTCGAGGGGCACCTCACCTTGCCCAGCCTCTCCTCGCCATGCCCAACCCAGCCCCGCCTTGCTCCTTCCCGCCCAGCCACTCCTTCTTACAACCAGCTACACACCGAGTACTCACCAGCTACTCAGTGAGCAGCCGGGTGGCTGGGCGAGCAGGTGGGCGGTGAGGCAAGGAGTGGCTGGGAGGGGAGGGATGAGGTGGGGCCAGGTGTGACGAGGCACACTATTCAGCCAGTTTGCCAAACTGCACAAAAAGTTAGCTACCGGTTCTACCGAACCTGTGTGAACTGGATGAATCCCACCACTGCAACCAGGTAACTAAATTAACAACTGCAGTGATTCATTTAAGAACTGCATCTAGAAAGATTGTAAAATGAGGCAAAACTCCCTTAACAACCGTCTTGCTTAGAAATTTTGAACTTAGTTGTGGTTGTAAGCCGAGAACTACCTGTAATAATTATCTGCCTCATTTTGGCAGGGTCACAAGACAATGCCAGCTGTGGGTGAGGTCAGAACCAAATTTGAGAATGGCCACTGTTTTCTCCCCTAATGCTCCTGCTGTCTCTGGCATCCTCATTTCTTGCTATATTCTTTGGCCTTCCCTTCTATCAGGGATGGGCTGCTACGGGTTCGCCTGGGTTTGGGAGAACCCGTAGCTAACGTTATGGCTGGTTTGGAGAACCTCCAGATCCCACCCCTGGCTGGCCCCGCCCCTCCCACCCCTCCCAGGAGTCTCCACGCAGCCCATTTTGGATGCGAGATAAGTGCAGGGCCCGCACGGAGGCTCGGGAGGGGGGAAAATGGGCCTCCCGGAAGTTCCGGAAGGCTGGAAATGGGCCTGTTTCCGCCCTCCAGAGGGCCTCCAGAGCCCAGGGGAGGCAGTTTTCGCCCTCCCAGAGGCTTGAGCCTGGGGAGGGTGAAAACACACACACACCCCTGGTGCAGGAGGCCGACTAGGCCACACCTACCATGGCCACGCAAACTCAGCAACTGGGCAGAGAACCTGTTGCTGAAATTTTTGAAGCCCACCCCTGCCTTCTATCCTGCTCTTCCTCTTTCTCTCTACTATCCAAAGCTCCCCCCTATTCACACAGATTTCACTCTTACAGGAAAAGGATGTCCACCAATATATCTTATGTGCCTGCTCAATCTCATGGAATATCTATTATTTTTGTGTAGTGGTTAAGGCACCAAATTAGAAACCGGGAGACTGTGAGTTCTAGTCTCATTTTAGTCATTAAAGGCAGCTGTGTGACTTTGAGCCTATCACCAGGAGACAGTGAGTTCTAGTCCCATCTTAGACATGAACACCAGTTGGGTGGCTTTAAGCCAATTACTTTGGGATGGTGAGTTCCAGTTCCAGTTTAGGCATCAAAGCCAATCACCAGGAGACTGTGAATTCTAGTCCTGCCTTACCCATGAAAGCCAGCTGGGTATCTTTGGGCCAATCACTGTCTCTCAGCCCAACCTATCACAAAAGACTTGTAGTTGAGGAGAAAATAGGAGGAGGAAGATGTATGGATAATAAAAAGAAGAGTTTCACCTACCAATAAGAAAGATGGCTCTTGAGACAGAGATGTTGAACTGCTGCTCCATAAACTTTGATTCAAAGGTTATGATGCCAACCAGAGAATTGTACTGGAGGATTGTAAGGAGCAAATAGATCAGGAAGATGGGGTTTCCAAACAGCTTTTTCAAAGTAGGAAAGAAATCTGGAATAGCAAAAATAAATAAATAAATAAACTAAAAGGATACCCAAATTCAATATCAGGTCTATTTAGACCTGAAACTATTTTTGATTTTTGTTCAAATTTGTAATGAAAAAATATGATTTTACAAGGAGGAAAAATCATGGATGATAGAATCAAGTCATTTAATAAGTCGTTAACTAACATGATTGGAATAGAATCATCACAAGGGTTAAGATTTATGAGCATGACACATCCGAAAGGGCTAATTGGACAGTACCAGGGTCAAAGTGAGTTAGCAATAGCAATAGCCCTTAGACTTATATACCGCTTCACAGTGCTTTACAGCCCTCTCTAAGCGGTTTACAGAGTCAGCCTATTGCCCCCAACAATCTAGGTCCTCATTTTACTGACTTCAGAAGGATGGAAGGCTGAGCCAACTTTGAGCCAATCAGGATCGAAGGAATCGAACTCCTGGCAAGGGGAGCAAAGTTAGCCTGCAATGCTGCACTCTAACCACTGCACCCCCACAGCTCACAGCTAGGACACTCAGAGAGGTTCTCAAAATGCTAATACGAAAGAGATCCTTTCCAAAGCATACAGCTTTGAAAACCTGATACTTCCGGACAGGGGTGGGATTCAAAACTTTTAGCAACTGGTTCTCTGCCCCGTTGCTGGGTGGGTGTGGCTATAGTGGGCGTGGCCTACTTGGCCTTCTGCACCACGGTGGGGGGTTTTCGCCCTCCCCAGGCTCTGGAGGCTTTTCTTGAGCCTCCGGGAGGTTGAAAATGGCCTCCTCCAGGCTCCAGAGGCCCTCCAGGAGCTGGAAATGGGCCCATTTCCAGACTGCCGGTACTTCCAGTAGGCCCGGTTTTCACCCTCCCCAGACTCCAGAGGCTTTTCTCGAACCTCTAGGAGGGCGAAAACTACCTCACTGGGCTCCGGAGACCCTCTGAAGGTCAGAAACAGGCCCATTTCCAGACTTCCAGAACTTCTGGGTGGCCCATTTTTCACCCTCCCAGAGCATCCATGCAGGCCCTGCACTTACCTGGCATACAAAATGGGTCGCATGGAGACTCCTGGGAGGGGCAGGGTGGGGTGGGTGGGTCCACCCAGTCCTTGCAACTACCAGTTCGGCAAACCAGACGTAAAATTAGCATCTGGTTTTCCCGAACCACTCTGAACCGGCTAAATCCCATCCCTTCTTCCGGATTCAACTTAGACATACGAGACATACTTTTCTAACCCCTTTTAGAAATCTCTTGTAAACCTCTTCAGTTACTAGGAACTTTTGGATCAACAAGTTTTACAGCACCGATGGACTTTCCTTCAATTATTAGAGAAAGGAGTTTTAATACAGGTTTAAGGACTTAAAAACTTCTTTTGCAGCAAAAGTATGATTGGGAACTTTGATTTTGGTGTTGTTTTCAATTCTCTTTAAAAGAAATTATAGGATGCGACATTTTAGGCCAGACACTATAGGAGCCGGAAGAATAAAAAAATTACACTTAAAGGAGAAGAACCATTAAATTTCACTAACTAATACAGAATGCACAAAGTGTTTTAATATTGGATATATTGAAGGTTATTTGTGAACAATGGAACATAAATTAATTTTAAGGAAGCCTGTCACTATAGATACTGTGTTTAAAAGCTGTTACGGAAGAGGAACACATTTTACTGGACAAGACAGACTGATCTGAAAGTGAATTTAAAAATGTCAGGCTAGAAGAATGATATGGAAAAAGATGCAACCCTGGCGGTACAATTGAAATCAGCCGATGTCTTAATAATAAAAAGGGATATACCGAAAACAAACCATAGGAGTGACCTGGATAACTTTTAGGTATTGGATTTAATTTGGAAATATTGCTTGTTAAACTTGTTAAAGTTTTGAAGAATTTTGTGAGAAAAAGACAAAGGAAGTTTAAAAAAAAAACCATTCTAGGATATTATCTGAAGGGGGATTAAAGATCAATATTCTTAAAAGTAAAAGGAAGAAATATAAAGTTGGTTTATTTGATCAAGGCTAAAATAGCTAAGTTGTTATCTCTGCTAACTCTTAATGGACTTTACTGATTAGGACTGAATGACAAGAGTTTAAGGATTTGTTTATAGAGAAGAGAAGGTGGAACTCATTATATAAAGAAATATACAATTTCTTTTTTTAATTACAGTACTTTATTTTTTCTTTCTTTTCTACTTTTTGATTTTTTCTTTCCTGCACTTTTTTTTCCTTCCTATTTGTTTCTATTAGTTTTTCTCTTTGAATTGTAATTTTTAAAAATAAAATTATGTTTAAAAACTGGACATGTTTTCAAAAGGTCTTTTTGGAAACCATAGCCATTTCATTTGCATTTATTTATTAAATTGATATGCTGTCCATCCAGGGGTGAAATCCAGCAGGTTCTGACATGTTCTGGAGAACCGATAGTGGAAATTTTGAGCAGTTCAGAGAACCAGTAGCAGAAATTTTGAGTAGTTCCGAAAACCAACAAATACCACCTCTGGCTGGCCCCATTTGGGGTGGGAATGGAGATTTTGCAATATCCTTCTCCCAGGATTGGGGAGGGAATGGGGATTTTGTAGTATCCTTCCCCTGTCATGCCCACCAAGCCACGCCCACCAAGCCACACCACGTCCACCAAGCCACGCCCACAGAACCAGTAGTAAAAACAATTGGATTTCACCACTGCGTCCGTCTCACTTTAAGAAGTGACTCTGGCAATTGAGTAAAAGATTGGAGAACACAGTTTTAGTTGCAAAGTTCAGAATGAACTACTCATGAAGAGGTCATTCAACCACCTTTTGCAATTTCTGAAACCTTTAGCCCTGGGCGTCTGGGAGCTTCCATTTTGTTCTGGTTGACTTGAGTGATTACATAAACTTCCGTTGACTTCTTAACAACTTGTTCTCCTTCTTGTGGCAAAGAGTAAGGCAGGAACCAGAAAGGAAGAGAGGACATGAAACTGGTGGCGCCACAGATCAACATCCCAAGCCACCAAGCACCGACCCAACGCATGTCTTTGGAATTGATGGTCAGTGTATCTAGGAGAAAAGAAAAATAAAAAGGCAAAATTTCATAGGAAGGCTCTTACTATATTTTAGAATTTAGAATAACAGAGTTGGAAGGACCTTGGAGGTCTTCTAGTCCAACCCCCTGCTTAGGCAGGAAACCCTACACCACTTCAGATAAATGGTTATCCAATCTCTTCTTAAAAACTTCCAGTGTTGGAGCATTTACAACCTTTGGAGGCAAGTTGTTCCACTGATTAATTGTTGTAACTGTCAGGAATTTTCTTCTTAGTTCTAAGTTGCCTCTCTCATTGATTAGTTTCCATCTGTTGCTTCTTGTCCTGCCTTCAGGTGCTTTGGAGAATAGCTTGACTCCCTCTTCTTTGTGGCAGCCCCTGAGATAGTGGAACACTGCTATCATGTCTCCCCTAGTTCTTCTTTTCATAAGACTAGACATACCCAGTTCCAGCAACCGTTCTTCATATGTTTTAGCCTCCAGTCCCCTAATTATCTTTGTTGCTCTTCTCTGCACTCTTTCCACAGTCTCAATGTCTTTTTTACATCGTGGCGACCATGAGGTAAAAATTTTCTATTAAGTATATATCCCTTGGATTGACCTGGATTTAATGCTCATGGTGTTCACATGGCATGTTTAATCTTAAACTTGGTTTAACAACGTGCATTTCATTTCCATTTGAACAGCTCCCTATCAGCTCCTCTAATTTTGAAGGCGCTCCATTATCATAAGTAAAGGTTATAGTGGTTTATATTTGCATAACCTGGCCTCATGCTTAGTGTATCATTCAACCGATTAGGCAAGCCCAGAAAGTGGATTCTTCCAGTAACCAGGTTAAGTAGGTTGTGGGTTGTTGCTATTTTCTTCCTCTCAATTGTGTCTGATTCTTGTTATTACTGCCTTCTTAGGGCTGAGACAGAGTGACTGGCTCAAGGTCACCCAACTGGCTTTGTAGGTGAGACTAGAAGTCACCATCTCCCCATTTCTAATCTGATGCCTTAACTCACTTTCTGTGGACTAGTCACTTGTAACAGAAACAACTATAGCCCAGTGGTGGGATTCAGCCAGTTCGCACTTATTCGGGAGAACCGGTTGTTAACTTTCTAAGCAGTTTGGAGAACTGGTTGTTGGAAGAAATCTTATTTTGTTTTTTTCCAATTTACAGGGCTAATCCTGTAAGGAAGGCAGGAAAGAAACATTCTGGTGTTGTTTCTAGCCTAATCTTTATTGCTCTGCTTACAGAAACTGCCTCTCTGGTTAACCCTTATTCCATTGTAACAGCTAAGGTGAAGCGCCCATCGACGTGAGTGACATTGAGTTGGCCACGCCCACACAGTCACATGACCACCAAGCCATGCCTACCCAGCTGGTCATTAGGGCAGAGAACCAGTTTTTAAATTATTTGAATCCCACCACTGCTATAGCCGTGATGGCGAAACTATGGCATGCATGCCAGAGGTGGCACACAGAGCTCTCTCTGCTAGCACGTGCGCCATCACCCCAGATCAGATCTCTGTGGCATTTCTTTCAGGAGCTTCTGTTTCCCTGCAAACGACAAAACAGAAGCTCACGAAAGAAAAAGGTCTTACCTCTTGCCGCACTGCCAGTATTGGGATGCCCTGCCTCCCACCAGCCAGCTGGTCTTCGGGACTCTGCTGCACATGTGTGCATGTCCACACATGCGGACATTCACACATGTTCATGCATGTGCATGTTTGCACATGCGCGCACGCACCTTTCAGTTTGGCCATGCGCACGCTTGCAGTTTGGGCACTCGTTGTCTAAAAGGTTCGCCATCACTGAACTAAAGGATGGCTTCATGTAACAGCCGCATTCACACTCAGTGGTAAGGCAACAGCTGGGTTTCCACGACATATTAAATTGCAAGCAAGCTTATTTTAAGTCTAATCTAGCTTGTTGTAATCAAGTTACAAGATAAGAGCCTTGGTAGCACAGTGGTCTAAGGCACCCTGTTATTAAGCTGGTTATTAAGACCAGCTGCCTGCAATTACTGCAGGTTGGAATCTCGCCAAGGCTCAAGGTTGACTCAGCCTTCCATCCTTTCTAAGGTAGGTAAATTGAGGACCCAGTTTGTGGGGGCAATAAGCTGACTTTGTATAAATATACAAAAAGGATGAAGGCTATTGCTGAGCATACTGTAAGCCGCCCTGAGTCTCCGGAGAAGGGCAACATATAAATCAAATTTTAAAAAAAAAGTAATTAGGGAAGGATCCAGGGGTGAAATCTACTTACCTTCCTTACCAATTCGGAAGTGCACAGGCCCCGTGCACGTCACATGAATGCACAGACCTTCTGCTCATGCGCAAAATCTCCTGTGCATGCGCAGAAGGTAAAAAACCACATTACTTCCTGCTTAAAACCAGCTTTGCACCGCCATCACTACCAGATCACCAAACCCACCATGACGATCACTACCGGATTGCCCGATCTGGTCCAAACCGGGAGCATTTCACCCCTGGAAGGATCTCAACAATGTGGTCCAAATATTCATTGGTGGTTCTTTTTTTTTTTTAATATCATTCTCTCCTTCCTATATTTATCTATGTTGTGGCCCTGCCCTCTGAGCCTGTCCCATCGGAGGAAGAAAGCTCCGAGCATGAGGAAGAGGAGTCAGCCAGGCCTCCCTCTCCAGGCCCCTCCCCTCTGGCACTGTCTCAGGTGCCAGCCGAGGGAGAGGAGATTAGCAGGGAGACAGGTGGCTCGGATGAGAGCGAGGGAGAGACATCATTCCTGGACGCACGCCTCCGAAGGCGTGATAAACGTTTGCAGCAGCTCAGGAGGCGTGCTAGGGATTAGAACTGAGTCACTGGACCACACCCCAGAGACTATATAATAGAGGGTGGTGGCCAGCGATCCCTGTGACGAACAAAAGTAAACCTTGGATAATCACTAAAGCCTCGTCCGGAAACTGCTGAGAGGAATATTATTCTGATTTGACTTTTGTACGCTAAGTATCTTATCTTTCTGTTTTGTGGAAATAAATGCACTTGGCAGACGGTGTGTATATCGCTGCCAAGTTGGAGATAAAGACCTGGGTGTGTGCCAAAGTGTTTCCTTAACCCTCGGCTGGCTGTGTTTGTGTGTGTGTGTGGACGGGGACAGATTAATCTAGCCACAAAATAGAAAACTTAAAACCTCTGTTTAATAGACTCGTGGGGCAATGGGTTATTCGCAAATGTCTGTTAAATTCCAAAGAATGTCGTTTGCATTAATTGTCATCATTTGTGTAATGAAATAAAATTGGCACGAAGGACTCATGTGTCCCATCTCATAAAATCAATGTAAAATCAATGCATACTTAATAGCCTTTTCCAGACTATGTCAGAAACAACGGACCTGAGTTCCTTTGGAATAATGTCTGGACAACAATGTTGTCCGATGCATCTGGAGTTTGCTAAATGGGACTTCATTAAATTAACATTTTGAAGTCCGGCTAGCAAAAGTCTACCAGATGAAAAGACAAAAATGGCTGAGAAGAAACATTGGAGGTGATACTTGTTCCTTACCTGGGTTTACTGCTCCAATGTCAACCCACAAATTGGCACAAAAAGCTCCAAGCAGAAAGCCAAGAGACGGTCCAAACATCCCTACAGACCGTACAGTTCCTACAAAAAAGATGAGTTAACCTAAGTACAGGAACACCTGCAGAGCAAGACTTCAATTACAGATGAGGAATGGGGTCTACAACAGGTGGCAGCATCAAACCAACTTTGACAAAGCTAAGCAAGGTGATATTTGGTTAGTACTTAAATGAAGGCCCCCAGAAAATCCTAGAACTGCAGGATTGACTTGGAACATCTATCATCTTTCCTTCCTTCCTTCCTTCCTTCCTTCCTTCCTTCCTTCCTTCCTTCCTTCCTTCCTTCCTTCCTTCCCTCCCTCCCTCCCTCCCTCCCTCCCTCCCTCCATCCAAGGCAGTGGTGAAATGCAAAATTTTTCCCCACCGGTTCTGTGGGTGTGGCTTGGCGGGCGTGACTTAGTGGGGGGGGATCATGTGACCAACTTTTTTGGTGGGTGGGTGTGGCCAACTTTTTTTTTTTACTTTTTAAAGCATTTTTTTACTACCTATTCACCTGAACCGGTAATAAAAAAATGCTTTAAAAAAAGAAGAAGAAAAAAAGTTCAGATGATTAGCTGTGCTGTGTGATCATCGGAACATTTTTTTTTACTTTTTAAAGCATTTTTTTTACTACCGGTTCGGGCGAATTGCCCCGAACAGATGCATTTCATCCCTGATCCAGGGGTGGCAATAGCAATGGCAATTGCAATTACTTCCATATTATTGCTAAAAAAATAGGCAGGTGTTATTACCTGTAAAGTTGGAAGGATGTATGATTCTACCTCTAAGAGAAGGACAGATGGAGCCAAGGGAGGAGTTAAAAGAGGCATCAGTTTAGAATTGTTACATAGCCACAAGCGAACTAAATCCAACTCCTCTTGAACACCACTGACTCTTATCTAATTCTAACCAGATGCTAAACATTAGTGTGAAAAAATGCCAGTGCATAGACTTTAACAATCAGTCAGTGATCTAGAACTTTTGTGTGTGGACCTGGTATTTCACATCTGACATTATCTGCATTTTGAAAAATGTGGATGAGGATAGTTGCATGTGGGATGACCGTGGGCAGTAGTGGGTTTCAATCTAGTTTGCTACCGGTTTGCTCATGTGTGTACGCTTGCACGCGTGCAACACGTCTGCGCATGCTACCAGGACTAACTGGTAGCAACCCATCACTGACCGTGGGATATAGAGAAAGAGATTTATAGATTGGGGGGACGGGACATACAACTGTAGAACAGGGGTCTCCAAACTTGGCAACTTTAAGACTTGTGGACTTCAACTCCCAGAATTCCTCAGCCAGCTTTGCTTTGAGTTTAAGTAGACAAGTCTTAAAGTTGTCAAGTTTGGAGACCCCTGGTGTAGAGAAAGACACTCTAAAAGGATCCTCCCTAACGTATCAGCCTTTTAAAAGATACAGTGTGGGATATGTACTTTCAAAGTTGCAAGGTTTTGTTAATGTAACCCTACAACAAAGTAGAATTAGGTTGCCACTACATCACTACTACTAAACAACTATTGATTGTTTCTCCCAATTTTGTTCCCAAAATATCTTCTGTTCTTGCTCTCCAAAACCTGGCAAAATTCCTTCTCTCATTTTCTGTGCCAGCAAGAAAAAATGGGGTTAGTGTCTCAGAACTAATTTACTGACCATCTGTTGAATTTCTATGGATGGTTTTTAATGCGGACTTACTTACAAATCCTTGCGATGAAATAGTTTGAACCTACTAAAGACAAAAATTGAGCTCCCTCACTTCTCCCCGCCCCGCCCCCCGTGCCTTCCAACTAAGCTGGAACTGCATCTCCCAGAATTCCCAGTCAATGCAGTCATCGGACAGAATTGAATTCTGGGAGTTGAAGTCTGAGGGCTGGGATATCTACAGCTTTGGTCCCATTTCAGTTGTAATACTCAAATTCAGGAGAGAAAGAGTGATTGTGTGTATCTTACCTATGTAAAAGGCAGAGTTTTCTTCTGTGGCAAAATCATCAATGTAAGACATTCCCAGAGGCATAATAGGGGCTTCCCCAATTCCACGTAGCAGGTTCCCAGCAAGCACAAAGACCCACAAATAGGAACTAGCCATTTTTTCACATCCTGAAAACAGAAAATGTCCCAAGAAGTTGTGAGGTCCACAGCTTGATCACAATATTACTTGAGCAGTGGTGGGTTTCCATTTTTTTTACTACCAGTTCTGTGGGTGTGGCTTGGTGGGTGTGGCATGGCTTGGTCGGCGTGCCTTGGTGGGCGTGGCAGGGAAAAGATACTGTAAAATCTCCATTCCCACCCCATTCCAGGGGAAGGTTACTGCAAAATCCCCATTTCCTCCCAATCAGCTGGGACTCGGGAGGCAGAGAATAGATGGGGGCGGGGCCAGTCAGAATTTTTACTACTGGTTCTCCAAACTACTCAAAATTTCCGCTGCCAGTTCTCCAGAACTGGTCAGAACCTGCTGAAACCCACCTCTGTATCTGAGCATTACAATTTTCATTCCAAAGTACAGATAATCCTTGATTTATGAAGACAATTGGGACCAGAATTTCCATTGCTAAGCGAGGCAGTTGTTAAGTGAGTGGCGTTTGGTTTTACAATCTTTTTTTAAAACCGCAATTGTTAAGTAAACCACTGCAGATGAATAGCATTGAATAGCATTAGCACTTAAACTTATATACTGCTTCACAGTGCTTTTACAGCCCTCTCTAAGCAGTTTATAAAGTCAGCATATTGCACCCAACAATCTGGGTCCTTATTTTTACCGACCGCGGAAGGATGGAAAGCTGAGTCAACCTTGAGCCTGGTGAGACTCGAACTGCCAAATTGCAGGCAACCGGCAGTCAGCAGAAGTAGCCTGCAGTACTGCACTCTAACCACTGCGCCACCGCAGCTCGTCCAACCTCCCCCATTGACTTTGCCTGTTGGAAACTAGCTGTGAAGGTCGCAAATGATAATCACATGACTTGGGACACTGCAACTGTTGTAAATACACGCCAGTTGCCAAGCACATGAATCTTGACTGTGAGGATGCCACGATGGTCATAAGTGTGAGAATTATGGTAAGCCACTTTTTTCAGTGCTGTTGTCATTTTAAACAGTCACTAAATGAATGGTTTTAAATCAAGGACTACCTGCCTGTAGCAGGAAGGTTCAACTTCACCAATTCCAAGCCTCGCAAGCCAATGTCTACTCTAAGACAAGTTTCTAGCTCTTGTGATATGGATAAATTCTTCAAGCAAGGGTGATAACAATTGCGAAAGCGAACTCTTAAACCTGAGATAGTTTTTATGGATGGTGGGGGAAACACTTCCTCAACAAGTCCTCAGTAAGTATCATCTCCTCTCCCCACACCCCCAGTAACAGGCACAAGTAACTTTGAGGGAGAATAACAGTATAACAACATTGGAAGGGACCTTAGAGGTCTTCTAGTCCAACCCCCTGCTCAAGCAGGAAACCTTATACCATTTCAGACAAATGGTTGTCCAATCTCTTCTTCAAAACCTCCAGCGTTGGAGCGTCCACAACTTTTGGAGGCAAATCATTTCATTGATTAATTGTTCTGTCAGGAAATTTCTCCTTATTTCTCATTTGGTTCTCCCCCTTGATTAGTTTCCACCCATTGCTTCTAATCCTACCCGCAGGTGCTTTGGAGAATAGCTTTAGTCCCTCTTCTTTGTGGCAGCCCCTGAGATATCGGAACAACTGCTATCATGTCTCCCCTAGTCCTTCTTTTCATTAAACTAGACAGACCCAGTTCCTGCAACCGTTCTTCGTATGTTTTAGCTTCATCTATTTTAGCCTAGAAGACTGCCACTAATTTCTCTCAAGGGACAAATAATTTAACCCAGGGGTGAAATTCAGCAGGTTCTGACAGGTTCTGGAGAACCGGTAGCGGAAATTTTGAGTAGTTCAGAGAACCGGCAAATACCACCTCTGGCTGGCCCCAGAGTGAGGTCGGAATGGAGATTTTGCAATACCCTTCCCCCAGGAGTGGGGTGGGAATGGAGATTTTGCAGTATCCTTCCCCCAGGAGTGGGGTGGGAATGGGGATTTGATTTTGCAGTATCCTTCTCCCAGGAGTGGGGTGGGAATGGGGATTTTGCAGTATCCTTCCCCCAGGAGTGGGGTGGGAATGGAGATTTGCAGTATCCTTCCCCTGCCAGGCCCACCAAGCCACATCATGCCCACCAAGCCACACCCACAGAACCGGTAGTAAAAAAAATTGGATTTCACCACTGATTTAACCTCATCCGCTTGTTTCATTTCAAGAAACCTATCAAGTCCAATATGGCTTCCGAGGCTTTCTCAGATTACGTCCTTAAACCTAAGAGTGCTTATTTCATATCTTGAGTTTTTAATGAGCCCACTCTAAACAAGAAAGTTTACTCTGATTTGTAAGGGCAAACACACACACACCCTGATCAAACTGGAAAATGGTATGCTTTCAAACAAGGACAACATGTGAACCATCTGAAGAGTAGATTTACGGTATTACAAATGTATAAAATGAGGTAATTTTTCCAGACTTCCATGTGGATATTTAACACCTTAGTGCTCACTCTTTTCAGAGGGGGGGGGGAGGAACGATGGCCCCTTTATGACTTGAAGACTTCAACTCCCAGAATTTCTGAGCCAGCCATTCTCAGGAATTCTGGGAGTTGAACTCCACCGGTCATAAAAGGGCCATAGTTCCCCATCCCTGCTAGATAAAGCAAGCCTCCCCCCTAGAGGTGGGTTCTACTTACCTTTACTACCAGTTTGTATCCTGCCTGCGCGGTGCGCTCTTCTATGCATGCATAAGCTTCTGCACATGTGCAGATCAACTTTGATGACGTTGGGTCAGTGGGCGGAGCCTCCCGCCGGTTTTACTACTGGTTCTTGCGAACCGGTCCGAACCAGGGACAACCCACCACTGCTCCTCTCCCACCACTACAAAGGCCCAAGGCCACTGGAAATTTTTTACTTACCAGCCATCGTTGTGTTGTGGGAAGTTTCGGCAAGAGTGTAGTGATGGGGAGATACTGACGTACAGGCGAAACACTTGTAGATGAATTGGCCAAGGAAACTGTGATACTTTTGTAATTGTAACTGCAGAACAAAAGCCAGGATTACGGGACTGGAAAGTTAGACTTTTCCTTCCATCATTATTTGAGAAAGACGATGGGTGGGTGGATAAGTGGTTTGGTTGACTGCACATGCAAAACCCAGGAAAACCAAACTTAATTATTGTGCTCGTATAACATGCCCAAACAGATCTGAGATAGAAAAAGTATTTTGTTTTTGATGTTCCCCTAGGTTCTACTCTACATACTATGTGGGACTTCCTCCTACGTTATTTTCTCAGGAGGAACAATATCAAATGAATTCAATTCTGCGGTTTGGGTGTGTATGTGAAAGAAGGTTTAAAATAGATACTCTGCTCCTGATCCAACATTCTGGCCTCTTAGGACACTATCTACATATATTTACACAATAGTTGAATATACACTTATAGATCTGGTGGTTGCTAAGTCACTTTCAAACTTATGGTAAATATGGGTCTAAGTATGCATGTGTCACACTCTTGTAGAAACCCAGTTCATTTCCTTTTCATGATCAGCAGCATCCATGGAGATTGGGGGGAGTTGAAATTGTCAAAATGGCAGACTGGGCATAACGAGAAAAGTCCTCTAACCATTTGCATATAGACTGACATTGTACATATCTTCAAAGAAAGCTGGGCTTGCCCTGCATCACGCCACCCAGAGTCTTGCTGGCTCTGACCTCCCTTCCACAGGCACCATTCTTTATGATTCGGTGGGTTACATAAAACAAAACAATCTATCCATCAATCACCCACCCAACCATCCATCTATCCAATCATCCATCATCCATCCATCCAGAGGTGGGTGGTACATGAATTAACAACCGATTCGCCCAGCACTGAAAAGGCAAGTGTGCTTCTGCACATGTGCTTTGCTCGTGCGTGTGGCTTGCATGCATGCATGCGGCTTAGAAATGCGACTAAGTAGGATGGCATAGCGCCAGGGTGGATGCGTGGGGGCCATCCTCAGGTCGCAACTACCAGCTTCACCCAAACCGGTCCAAACTGGCTGAATCCCACCCTGACATCCATCCATCCATCCATCCATCCATCCATCCATCCATCCATCCATCCATCCAAAGGTGGCCATGGTGTAGGCCTCAAATTTGAGTTGAGACCACCCCAAATCAGTTTTTATCTTCTTCCACATGGACCCCTTGGAATTTCTCATATTAGACAGCAATAAACAAAGATATGAAAGAAGAGTGACTGGTTTAAGGAAAGGAGCAGAACAAGAACTTCATGCCCAGGGAGTGTTGATGAGATCATCAGAAAGGCAGAGGTGAGAAGTTTAAAGAATCATAGGTACTCCATGAAGTGGTGTATGCCTATAGGGAAAGAAATGATGTTTTCCAAGGATAGAAAGAGAAGGAGACATACTGAATAGTGAATGATGTTGGTGTAATTTGAATATTGCTTAATGAATTTAAAAGCTCTTGGTTCCTATCCTTCATTTATTATGCTTTCTTGTGGTTTCTTAGTCTTTTTCTATGCTGTGCAGAACATAGCTTATCTGAAAGTAGTGAATAAGTATTTACTTATTTATTTATATCCTGCCTTTATTATTTTTACAAATAACTCAAGGCGGTGAGGGTATCCAACATACCTTCCTCTTTCTATTTTCCTCACAACAACCCTGTGAGTGGATTGGGCTGAGAGAGAGAGAGAGGAACTTTTCCAAAGCTGGTTTTCTTGGTGAAGGGGGGACTTGAACTGACGATCTTCCACTTTCTAGCCTAGTGCCTTAACCACTAGACCACTGGAGAACAATGGGAGCTATGAGATGTGCCATACCCATTCATCTTCGACAGAAGCCTCGGTATGGCTACATTCATATCATCCATTTAATTTCGGTACTGGGATTATCTATTTCCTGGCTCCTATCATATTATATAAAATTTATTTATATAAAAGGGACCCGGTGGCTCAGTGGCTAAGACCCTGAGCTTGTCGATCGAAAGGTTGGCACTTCAGTGGTTCGAATCCCTAGTGCTGGGTAACGGGGTGAGCTCCCATTACTTGTCCCAGCTTCTGCCAACCTAGCAGTTCGAAAGCAGGTAAAAAATGCAAGTAGAAAAATAGGGAACACCTTTGGTGGGAAGGGAACAGCGTTCCATGCGCCTTTGGCATTGAGTCATGCCAGCCACATGACCACGGAGACGTCTTCGGACAGTGCTGGCTCTTCGGCTTTGAAATGAAGATGAGCACTGCCCCCTAGAGTCGGGAATGACTAGCACATATGTGCAAGGGGAACCTTTCCCTTTCCTTTTTATCATTTTATGTATTTACCATTTTAACTGTATTCACAATATAACAGGTCCATTAAAGATTTATTAAAGACCTAGAAACCTGATTGGTTCTACTAACTCTGGTTAGTCCTTGATTAGGCTTAGTGTGTATTTTACTATTTTGTACAAATCCTGCCCTTTTTACTTTATGATTGATTGAATTTTGCAAAATAAGAAAGCGAGTTATTCCAGGAAACAAACAAAGCACATGCTGTCTTTAATTAGAAAGTAATCCAACAGGCTGGATTTGTACAACAAGTCACACCACAATCCCTTTCCTAAAAGAGATAGAATCAACAAAAACAACAGCCAACTCATCCTCAGATTAACTCAGGTGATCTGGCTGTAGCTTTCAAGGTAGAAAGTCAAGTCAAACAAAACGTCACTTACCGTCCCATGATGAAGTGTGGTATCATCGATAGAAAGGATCCCAAGGTCATAATTAGACAACCTGTTGCAATCACCTTTGGGCGGTGAACTCGTGGTCCAAGATAACTCACCAGAACCATTACCAATAAGTTTCCTGAATCAGAAGAAGAGACATTAACAGCCCTCTCTGGGAAAAGGAAGACCTTCTATGCAGTGGTGAAATGCAGCCAGTTCTATCCGACTCGGGCGAACCTGTAGCGCCGGCAACGGGAGGCTCCTCCCACCCACCAGGACGTCATCACGTCCCATTTTTGACATCTGCGCATGTTCAGAAGGTCCTGCGCATGTGCAGAGGTGTCGCGATTGAACAAAGTGAGCACACGCGCACGCACGCTCCCATTTGCAAACCGGTAGCGAAGGTAAATGGATTTCACCCCTACTTCTATGGCCAAGCTGCAACCTCTGCACCCCAGCACGAGTCAACCTACCTATCTCAAAGCTTCCGTCGATCAAGCCAACCACAGACGATGAGATCTCGAATCTCCGCTCGATTTGAGTCATCATGCTCTTCATGTAGCTTCCTGAAAAAGCTTTGGCAAAAAAAGAAAACGCCAGTGCTCCAAGAAATATCTAAGATGGAAACAGAGATAAAATAGTGAGCTGGCAAAGGAGCCATTGCTAGAAAGTTGCTAGAGGCATCTCATAACGCTAACATTATAGAGCAGGCGTGTCAAACTCAATGTCATTGAGGGCCACATCAGGGTTGAATTTGACCTCATTGGGGGGGCAGGGTGGACGTGGCCAGGGTGAAGTGGCCAGCTCGACCTCACTCATGTCGGGGGTGCCTGTGGTGGCCCAAGTGCTCTGCCAGCGAAAACGGGCTCCCGAGCTCCCCTGGGCCTTGAGTTTGACACCCCTGTTATGGAGCATTTTTACTAATGTTTACTCTCCAAAGGCCCACAGGTAGTGAAATGCCCATGGTAAAAATTAAAAATTGAAAAATAAAATAAACAATACGCACTCTTTCAAGGCAAAAGAGCGCAAAAGAGCACTAAGTTGTTTGCAGAACATAGTTAGGTAGATACAACCTAATTTCCACCAGGTAACGGCAAAGGTTCCCCTCGCACATGTGTGCTAGTCATTCCCGACTCTAGGGGGCAGTGCTCATCTCCGTTTCAAAGCCAAAGAGCCAGCGCTGTCTGAAGACGTCTCCATGGTCATGTGGCCAGCATGACTAAACGCCAAAGGCGCATGGAACGCTGTTACCTTCCCACCAAAGGTGGTCCCTATTTTTCTACTTGCATTTTTTACATGCTTTCGAACTGCTAGGTTGGTAGAAGCTGGGACAAGTAACGGGAGCTCACTCCGTTACGTGGCACTAGGGATTCGAACCGCTGAACTGCCAACCTTTCGATTGACAAGCTCACCATCTTAGCCACTGAGCCACCGTATTCCACCAGGAGGCTGCTCTAAAAAACTATTGCTGTCACCAAGAAGGGCCTTGCATCCCCCAATCCTCCCAAAAGTGGGAAACTACAAACAGCTTTTCCTAGAACAATCACATAGGTTGGACTGATATATTTTTTTTTTAATTTGATTTATATGCCGCCCTTCTCCGGAGACTCAGGGCGGCTTACAGTGCGTTAAGCAATAGCCTTCATACTTTTGTATATTTATACAAAGTCAGCTTATTGCCCCCACAAACTGGGTCCTCATTTAACCTACCTTAGAAAGGATGGAAGGCTGAGTCAACCTTGAGCCTGGTAAGATTCGAACCTGCAGAAATTGCAGGCAGCTGTGTTAATAACAGGGTGCATTAAACCACTGTACTACCAAGGCTCTTGGTAGTCCTCAACGCACGACCACAACTGACCTCGTAATTATGATTATCAGTCATGATCGCCATTAAGCAGGACATCAGGGGACTGTGCCTGATCTTACACAACCTTTTTTTTGTGGCAGTCATTAAGTGAAAGCAGCGGTCATAAAGCAAACACAGTGTTCCTAAAGCAAAGACCTCAGTCATTAAGTGAATCCATTGTCCACAAGGGGTGTTTTTTTTTTTGTAAATGCCAATTTCCGGCAAAGTATGTTATAAATCACAGTCGTGTTGCATGGATCCTGCAAAAAAGGCTGTTAAATGTGAACCATCCCCCAAAATCCAATGACAGGGGAGCTTGGCCATTGGAACTTGTAACATGGGTTATTTAGTTGGAAAAGGCACTGACAGACTTTGGCCTTTTTGCTACTATAGTTTTTACCCTGTGATTTTAAGCATGAATTGTATGAATATTTTCCAACTCTCCAAGGAAAGCAGCCGAGCGATGGCTTTTAGCTTTGAAACAGAAAGGATGTGTGTAGCCTTCACTGGATGTAACCTGAGGATTTATTGCAGAGAAAATGGGAAGCTATTCAATTTCAGAATAGAAAGAAGAGTAGCCTTTGTGGGATGCAGCTCAGGGATTCATTGAAGCGAAAATTGGAGGGAGGGAGGAGGAAAGCTATATTACCTTTAATTGGGAAATAGAGAGAGATGTCACCTTGGTAGGATGTGATCCAAAGGTTTTATCCAGGACAAACGGATTTTCTTTTGCTTGCTGTGAGGCTGTTTTTCCATCCATGGTATTGATCTAAACTGGGAACACAGACTTTTCTGTTTGGTGGCCAAAATAGAACCGAGATTTCTAGATTCCAACTCCTTCCAGCTTTGTTATTCTGTTATTCTGATTGGGAATTTCTGTCCTAAAGGCCTAATCCTAAACTCAAAAGTTAATCCTACAATCTCAAATACCATGATTAAAATCTAGTCTTCCCCTAAGCCGACCTTCTTTCCTTTTGTCGCGAGCTCTTTCGTCCATTCAACTGATCCGTTTGGGGGTACACTGTCATAATTTTAAACTGTTTTTAATAGGGTTGCTGATTTTAATTTTATTTCCTTGTGATTTGTATTGAAATTTGTCATTTTGTAAGCCGCCTTGAGTCCCCAGGGAGAAAGGTGGCATATAAATCGCAATAATAAATAAATAAATAAATAAATAAAATAAATAAGCCCTGTGTTTCCATAATATCGCATTGCTTTCAACACCTATTCTTTTTTTTTTAATCCTCAACCTTCTTTCTCCTAGGCTTAAGTGATATTAGTCTACAAACAGAACCATCTTGTAACTTTAAAGAGGGTGGAGAGGTAATTTGAACTTGGGCTGCCTGCATATTAGGCAATTGTATTAACCTCTGAGCCACAAATTCTCCTCCCTTTATCATCTTGAGCCAGGGGAGAGATTAAGTGTTTTTCCAACGAAGCACCTGGTCTACCCCAATATGGGAGGGAGCAAACTGCTTCCCTTTCACCTTTCAGCTCCAATCCAGAAGCTCTCAAGCAGTCACATTCACGATGAACTTGTGGCTCAGAGGTTAATACAACTGCATAATATGCAGGCAGCCCAAGTTCGAATCCGAATAAGGGTATGTCTAGCTGATGAGAGCTAAATAGCTTGAAATTGATCTATGCTAGTCTCCCTTTATTTTTTTACCAACAAATATAAATTTGGTGTATATATATATATATATACTTTTCTTTTTGCTTTTCCCCCCAGCACTGTCTTTCCTACTTCTTCTTTTATCTTTCTTTTTGTTTTAATTTCACTCTATATCATTTCATGTTTCTGTATTACTTATGTGAATTTTTTTAAAATAAAAGTTATTTTTAAAAGGTGCTAATCTGCATGTAGACTTCAGTCATATTGTTCAACAGGTTTATTTTAAGTACAAAACCAGGAAGATGACTTAATGTCTTGTAAGCAGAACAATAACAAGCAATTGCACAGAGAAAATTATATATATGAATTGACAGCAAATTAGAATCCCTATATTACAGATGAATAGCTACGATATTCTCCTTGACTGTATGCAGTTTTAAAGAACTTTGGAGGGCGACCAACTCCATTCCCACAACAAATTGCTCCTAATTTATAACTATTAATGTGAAGAATGTGCTAAATAATTAAGTATACTAGTTATGTTAGACATGTGATGCGACACCCAGAAAAATAGGGCATCCTTCAATTAATCCTCCAGGGAAAGACTGAAGGCGAACGAGGTCCAGGCAAAAGAAGAACATCATGGTTTCAAAACCTAAGGGACTGGTTTGGACAAAACTCAGCAGCACTTTTTCATGTGGCTGTTGACAAAAATAGGATTTGCCAACATGATCGCCAACATCCGATGGCGGATATGGCACAAGAAGAAGAAGAAAAAGAAGCTATGTTAAAATCAACACTAATTCAAAGTAAGCGAAGACGTTGTGCAACAATGCCCCAGCTCACAGCTCAAAGGCTAGCTATGGTCCTTAGGTTGCCCACCCCAAGTTGAGTATTGCTTGTATTAGATGATTAAAATAGCATCTTTTCATACTGACCACTGTATGTCATGGAAGAGTAGTGTAGGGTGGGGTGGGATGAGATGGGATGGAATGGAAAGGAAGGAAGGGAGGGAGAGAGGGAGGAAGGAAGGAAGGAAGGAAGGAAGGAAGGAAGGAAGGAAGGAAGGAAGGAAGGAAGAATACCAAATGTGAATGAACTTTTTTGCAGCCTTAGACAAGCAGATCAATCATGTTGAATCTTGGGAATTACATTTATTTCTTCCCGGCCTACATGTATATCTTCCCAGTTTGAACATTGCAAAAACGTAGTAGGATAGGGCTTAAGGCATTAGGAATGTGGGAGCATCAACTGTCTGTCCACTGAATTCCATGGATGATTACCTGGCTGACCTTGGAAGCCAAGTAGAGTCGATCCTAATGAGAGACCATTAAGAAACCATAGAGATGAAGGCAACACCAGGAAGTTGGGGGGAAAAACCTATCCTGGAAAAAACAGTGACAGACCATTTCTAAGAAGACTCCATGAATGTGTCTCTTACATCAGGGGTCCCCAGCCTTTCAGACCTCAGGGACCACTAAATTCATAATTTTAAATCCCATGGACCACTAATACGATCTGCCTAATGGCTGGCTGGGTGGGCGTGGCTAGGTGGTCATGTGACTGGGTGGGTGTGGCCAACTCGATGTCACTCACATCGAGGGGTGCCTCACTTTACTCACCCCTCGCTGGCCTCTACTCACCCCTCTCCTGCCAGCCACTCCTGGTTGTTAGAGCTAAGCAGCCATCACGAGAAAGAGTTGGCAATACAGCTAGCTCAGTACAAATTAGATCTGACCAAGAAGGAGGCTCAGCAGAAGCACCTCACTCAGGACTACAAGCATAAGCTTTCCAAGCAGAGGGAAGACCTGCAGGAGTGCAAGGCCAGGGGCCGGCGCCTGGAGGCTCAGTGGGCTGAGATGGTCAGCCAGTTCCAGGCCATGAGGCAGTCCCACTGGAACAAGGCCCTCCGGCTCCTTGCCACCAGTGGCACTTCCCCCCAGCTTTCGCCCAAAGCCCCACACCAGGATGCTGAAGCAGACCCTAAATCGGAACTTCTGCCCCCCTCCAACCCACACAAAAAGACCCCAAAGGGGGAGACTCTCTGCACCAACACAAACATTCATTGCACATATCCGGCCCAGGGACCATAGTTTGAGGACCTCTGTTTAGTGCAATATTAAAAAATGCAAATAATTATTCAGTGGACCACCAAAATTTTCTCATGGACCACCAGTGGTCCACGGACCACCAATTGGTGACTGCTGCCTTAAATCACAGGGAGACAAATTTAATTTGAAGGAAACTTCAAAATGCATGTATAGGTTTGCAGCTGGATAGCACAATCCTATATCTGTCGCTTTAAGAAAAGAAAAGAAAAGCTATAAAATATGCCGACTTCAGTTCTGACATAAAAGTGAATCACAGAGTGAGCGGCAAGAATTCCTATCCAAATTCCATACTTTACAGATTACAGATATAACAAGAGTTGGAAGGGACCTTGGAGGTCTTCTAGTCCAACCCCCTGCTCATACACCCCTTTTTTTATAACTATCAAACAGCCAAAGTTCTGTGGGACTTACTTTTTCATCAAAGTGAGCAAAGGAAGCTTTCCATGGACACAGCTCAGTATTGGATTCCCAAGGTGAAAAGTAACCCCAATCCCAGTTAGATCCTCCTTTTCATCAAATCCCTGTGTTAGCTAATCCAGGATTAACTTTATGAGTCTCTCTCTTTCTCTCTCCACCCAGACAATCCCAGTGTTTATCTCTTCTGTAAATTCCTCGTGGATATGAAATGGTCCAACCTTCCATCTTGGGGCCCTGAGCCAAGGACCACAGCAGATTAAACGAATGTTTAACATGGCTAACATCAAACAATATGCAAACTGGCATGGAATGTGTTTGGATCAACCTTGGTTGTTAAACACAGCCTACACTTTGTGCTTTATCTTTGGCTGACAATCCATCTTCTGACCTCCTTAAGATAAAGGCGGAATATTTTTGTCAGGTTTCGGGCTCCTCCCGAGTCTTCTGAGTTACAGAGACATTTCGTTCTGTTTCTGCTCCCTTTCAGAACACACGGGAGGAAAGCTGCTTTGGTTAAATGTGGGTAAAGGTGGAGCAGATGACCACAAAGAAGGGTGAGGAGATGATTGAATTAATCTTCACTGGAGATGATTGAATTAATGCTGGGCTAAAGACAACCTCCTCCTCTATTTATTCTATTTTTCAAAAATCCTCTTCGCCGTGCGAGAGAGACTTATTTCCTTACCTTAATTCTTGGGGAAACTCCTTCAGATTTATCTTGATGGTCTTTCTGAGCTTATTGTTGGAAATGTCAGAAGGTCAAGTTCTGTTGTTGTTTTCATGTGTCCGTCACTCAGAAGCTTTGAGGGCTGGACTTGGTGATCCTTATGGTTCTTTCTACCTCTATGGTTCCAGTAATTCTTGGGTTGCTCGAACTGCTCAACCTGAAAAAAGTCCCACTTTAGGAGGACTTTAGGAGTGAGCAGCTCTACGTCACCGGAATCGCATGCTCTGAAGATCTTGCAGAGGGCAATGGTCTCTAGATAACACTTGTGGTTGTCTGCAGGACTTTGCTGCTTTTGTAAAAATGAAATAGAAGCAACACACTGTTGGAGATGTTATATCCCTTTTATAGGCATTTGTTTGTTTGTTTGATTGTTTGTTTGTTTATATCTACCCGTGTTTCCCCGAGAATAAGACCAAGTGCCGAGTGACGCACTGTGCCGGGCCACAAGGCAAGGCAGGAGTGCTGCTCCATGCACCCTGCACTGGCTTACCTCAGGGGCCCCGCAGCCACATCAGCCAGGCAGGGTCCTCATGGCCGCAGCACCATGAGAAACCAGACGGAATGGATGGCCTGCTGGCTGAGCAGGCTCGTAAGTAGGGCTTATTTTGGGGGGAGGGCTTATATTAAGCGTGCACATAAAACATGCTAGGGCTTATTTTTTGAATAGGTCTATTTTTGGGGCAAACACGGTATCTATCTATCTATCTATCTATCTATCTATCTATCTATCTATCTCTATCATCTCTATCTATCGATCTATTTATCTATCTATATCTATCATCTATATCTGTCTGTCTATCTATCTATCTATCTATCTATCTATCTGTCTGTCTGTCTGTCTGTCTGTCTATCCTATCTATCTATCTATCTATCTATCTATCTATCTCTATCATCTATATCTATCTATCTATCTATATCTATCTATCATCTATATCTGTCTGTCTGTCTGTCTATCTATCATCTGTCTGTCTGTCTGTCTATCCTATCTATCCTATCTATCTATCTATCTATCTATCTATCTATCTATCTATCTATCTAATCTGTCTGTCTGTCTGTCTGTCTATCCTATCTATCCTATCTATCCTATCTATCTATCTATCTATCTATCTATCTATCTATCTATCTATATCTATCTATCATCTATATCTGTCTGTCTGTCTGTCTATCTATCATCTATCTATCTATCTATCTATCTATCTCTATCATCTATATCTATCTATCTATCTATATCTATCTATCATCTATATCTGTCTGTCTGTCTGTCTGTCTATCCTATCTATCCTATCTATCCTACTATCTATCTATCTATCTATCTATCTATCTATCTATCTATCTATCTATCCTGTTTCCCCGAAAGTAAGACATCCCCTGATAATAAGCCCAATCGGGCTTTGGAGCGCATGCGCTGAAATAAGCCCCCCCCCAAAAAATAAGCCCTCCACAAAAATATTTAAACGCATGCGCAGCCATTTCCTCTGGTTTTCTCCACGCACCCCAAAATAATAAGACCTCCCCGAAAATAAGGCCAAGCGCTTATTTTGGGATTCAAAAAAATATAAGACAGGGTCTTATTTTCGGGGAAACACTGTATCTATCATCTATCTATCAAATTTATTGGTTGCCCACCTTACCACAGAGTAACTCTGGGCGGATATATGATGTCACCACATCCATGAAAAGCGTCAGAGCGGTCTCACAATGGCATGATGCTATTTACGTCACTGTACCCACACCCCCGGTGCTCCACATAACCCCCAAATCCCATTAATCCCTAAATTCTATGAGGCCTCCAATTTCATTTTTAAAATGGCTTCACAGCCCATTGCCTCCTCTCTTTTTTTTTTGGCATCTCCAATTTCACCTCGGGTTACAGAAATGGCCACAGGTGGAATTTACCCCCTGAAAACATGTTGACATGAGGAGTCAGCAACTTGGTCTGGGAAACGAGATTTTCTCAGGTATGTAAGGACTTAAGAATCCAAGCCTTAAGAAGAAGCCACCACACCTGGAATGATGCAGAAGGTCCTACTCTGTTTCCGTTACGAAACGCATTAGAATCAATACAAATTTCATTTAGACTCTCAAATCCCTTGATTTCAGTGGCTCAACTCTAACCCAACCATCCCACCTATTTATTATTAACTAATGTTGCAGTTGCCAGACTGCAGAAGCTAAAAGACACACACACACACACCAACAAAATAAATAAAGCTCAGAAACTTTGCAGCCGTTCATTAGCCTCCTAAAAAAGCAGATTTGTTTTTCTTTAGTTATGCCAAAAGATCACATCACATGCCCTCATTTCCCCATTCATTCAAACACCACTTCTTTAGTTCTAGAATTATTTGGGGGTGGGGGGGGTGAGGTGGGGATTTCTAGGACAAGATCTTCCAAGTGTTAAAGGATTCCCACCAAGCACCCTCCCACCCGACTAAGGAAGGTAGGGCAATGCTGATGAGATGATCCCAACCCCCCCCAAAAAGGGAGAAAACTTACCGTTCGGTCTGGCAGGTTTGAACTCTCCAATCTCCTGAGGCAAGCAGCCAAATCATGTGCGTGTTTAGGGATCAGCCTCCTTTGGAAGGTGGAGAATTTGTGAGGGACATTGCATAACTTTTCCCTTCGCTGGTTTTTTTTTTTTTTCCACTTATTTCCATCCTTTCCAGAGAAGGGCCGATTTATAAGGTTGAACTACGATGACTTGCAGTGTTAATAAATGGGCATTTCGCCTGCGGTTGCATTCAGGTCTTTGCATGTAAATAGTTGACTTCTTCAGAAAAACGAAAATCCACTTCTTTCACCAGATGTTCTTTGCACTGCAATGGTAATGATTGCCTGAAAGAATTGCACCTTTGGGAAGGGACACGTGTCCATCTATCTGGACCACTGTTTCGCCTCAACTTTCAGAGGCGTGAACTTCAACAACCAGACCTTCCAGAATTTCTTGGAGTTGAAGTTGCCATGGTTGAGAGAAATTGGTCTGGATTGAAAATATCTGCTACATGGCACCTTATAGCGACTGCCACCACTGAAAGGCAACTTCAGGTCACCATTGAAAGTGATGGCACCAAAAAGATACTGAAAGTTTGAAAGCTCAACATATGGTTTGAAGGCTACTGAAAGCTCAACATATGGTTTGAAGGCTACTGGTCCTTTGCTGCTGGAGGCCAGGAAGGCCGAAAACGGGCCCTGTGGGGGCCCCACGAGGTCTCCACATGGCCTGTTTTCAGCTGTAAAAGTGCTGCAGGAGGCCACGGAGGGCGAAAACGGGCCGCGCAGGGACCTCACCAATTGTTCTAGACTATAGTACTCTGTAGGGGCATAATGGCTCAGTGGTTAAAGACGCTGAGCTTATCAGCTGGAAAGCTGATAACCTAGGTTTGAGACCCAAGTGCCACGCAACAGGTTGAGCTCCTGTTACTGCCTCAGCTCCTGCCCACCTAGCAGTTTGAAAGCATGCAAATTCAAGTAAATAAATAGGTACCACTTCAGTGGGAAGGCAAGAGGGTTCTGTGCACCTTGACGTATAGTCATGCTGGCCACATGACCACAGAAATGTCTTTGGACAAAGCTGGATCCCTTGGCTAAGAAATGGAGATGAGCATTGCCCTCTAAAGTTGGACATGACTGGACAGGAGAAACCTTTACCTTGATAGTTCCCTGATTGGTGGTCTAAATGACATCACTATAAGGTGATAGTATTTTTTCTGAGGAACTATTGTTGTTTGCTCCTACAGGTTATCCTAGCATCTTAGATAAATTAGTTGTGTAATTTTCCTCTAAATCAGGCCTGTCAAACTGGTGGCCCGCGGGCCGAATATGGCCCATGCAGGCCACACCCATCCCAGCTCACGACACGATCCGGCCTGCAACACAATCGAGTTTGACACCCGTGCTCTAAATTGTTAAACATCAATGGATCCAAAAGATTGCAGAAATTGGCTAACGAAGTTGAGATGTTATGGCTTTCAATGAATATTTCAGAATGTAGGACACCTTGTTATATCTCAGCACCTTCCAAGATCTGTGTGGCCTTCAGTCTTTAGAATCTTCAAGAACAGTCTGCTGAATTGGGCTATTCTGGAAAGAGAATTATCTTCCTCGTGAATTTCCTTCTTCTTAGATTAAAAAAAAAAAAGTCTAAGAAAAATTAGAGGAGCTTAAAGTTGCCTAACAAGTTTCCTTCCAATTTTATACTTTACCTGGTCTAAAACCTGCTTTGAAGGGCCTGCTTTTGAGTGCCCTTGGCAAACACACCATAGCAAATGCAAAAAAAAAAAAAAAACAATCTTAATCATCACATTCCGATTATAGAAGGTCTGTCCTTTTCGTTTTTGTCACCATGGAACATGAACGTTTCAAGACAATAGTAATACTTCAGATAACCCCTAGTGCAAGAAAAACTCTATTCAATGTGTACGAAATAATTTGTCTAAACTGGCATTTGGAAACGGCAAAGAACAGTTTGGTTCCAGGGCTACAAAAGCCATTTTTCCCACTGGAGGGAAACGTTCTGGATCCTGATTCTAAATTCCAGTTTTGCTGCTTGAGAAGAAAGAGAGACCAAGTTGGCTGGTGGAATGTAATAGCAGAAATATCTGCTGCCTTTGCAAACTTTGTTCTTCAGTACAGGTGGTCCTCGACTTACAACCATTCGTTTAGCGACTGTTCGAAGTCACGACGGCACCGGAAAAGTAACTTACGACCGTTTTTCACACTTACAACTGTTGCAACATAGCCAAAGTTACAGGATCAAAATTCAGACGCTTGGAAGGAATTCATATTTATGACGGTTGCAGTATCTGGGGGAGGTCACTTTTGCGAACTTCTGACAAGTAAAGTCAACGGGGAAGCCAGATTGACGTAATAATCATGTTACTAACTTAACAGCTGGAATGATTCACTTAACAACGGTGGTGAGAAATGTTGTAAAATGAGGCAAAACTCATTTAACAGCTGTCTCATACCATATTTTTCAGAGTATAAGACGCACCTAAAAGTGGGTGGAAATGTCTGTGCCTCTTATACAGCGAATGTTGCCAAAGCCCCGCCCATCCACCGGCCCCCACCCTTCGGCCGTTTTCGGCCACCACACGTCGCATTTTCAGCCTCCGCATGCTCCATTTTAGACCCGTTCCAGGCTGTGGAAATCACCACAGTACATCACTGCTGATCACTACCTCCGTGCATTGTGTTTTCAGCCAGTTCCAGGCAGTGGGGATCAGCAGCAGTGGCAGTGCTCCTCGCTGCCTGGAACGGGCCAAAAATGCAACGCAGAGAGGCCAAAAATGGGGCATGTGGAGGCCAAAAACACATCGTGTGGAGGCCAAGAATGTGACGCATGGAGACCGAAAACATGATGCACGGAGGCGGCAATCAGTGGTGATGTGTTGTGGCGATCCCGGCAGCCTGGAATGGGTCTAAAATGGAATGTGCAGAGGCCAAAAATGCAATGTGCAGAGGCGGCGATGGGCTGGGCCGATCCCCGCAGCCTGGAACAACTGATTGGCGGTATTCCGGGAGGCTGATCCAACTGCCAATCAGCTGCTCGTGCTGAATCAGGCTGCAACAGTGTGCTGAAGCTGACCAGGCTGTTTGCTGTTTGCTGCAAGGACGCTAGCCAGATGAATAGCGATGGATGCTGGTAGGCAGATTTTTTTTTCTTGTTTTCCTCCCCAAAAACTAATGTGCGTCTTGTACTCCAGAGCATCCTATACTCCAAAAACTATGGTAAATTTTGGGCTCAGTTGTGATGATAAGTCAAGGACGACTTGTATTTAAAAAGTGCCTTGGTGTTTCCCTCCACCGTTTGAAGAGCTAAAATGTTTTCAGATGCGAACATAAGACAGTTGCTTTAGTATTTCACACTGTGGGTCAGAAATCAGTTTTCGTATCAATTTCTTTAAATCCTTACCGTAACAGAGAGCTTACTGGTTAACCTGGATAATCACCGAATGCTGCCATCTTAAATGGTCTGTGAGCAGCTAACTATAGTTTCTTATTGAAGGTGTAATGGTTAACACTAAAGAGTCTACTCATCAATCATATTCACAGCTTCAACTAAACAATAACTGAGCTAATATTTTACTCCCTGGAAGATTTCTCTTACTAAACTATAGTACAAACAACCATTAGATGGGAGCAAAGAGACACAGGGACCATATTGTGATTGGGAGGATTTTTGTAGCACGTCATGGTATCCATATATAATCCACATATGAAAGATGTTTTCTTTAAATTTCCCAGTCTAGTCTATTAATCTGGGATTTCCTCTTGGTCTCCCATCCCAGTACTAACCAAGTTCAGCCCTGAGTAGCTGTTTCAAGTTTGGTCCTGCTCGGTCTCTAGTTGCTACTCAGGGCTGAACTTGGTTAGTACTGGGATGGGAGACCAAGAGGAAATCCCAGATTAATAGACTAGACTGGGAAATTTAAAGAAAATATCTAAGAGAAAGCTCTGTGTAGATCTAGCCAGTCTTTAGGAGCTGAGGTTCACTTAAGGGTGACATACCTTCATTTTTCATACTCTAGATAGAAAATATATGGTTATCATTGTCCTTGATCTATATGTTGTAATATCTGGCACGCGCTGTTACTTCATTCCTGAAACAATTGACTTCGCTACTACGCCAGTTTCAATAGAAGCTCATAATTTGGAATTTGGTTATCTGACAAACCATCTTCTCCATTGCAAGCCCAGCTAATCTCTTCCCACAGGCATTCCCAGCTGTGGGAATTTCCTTTTAGCACCCAACATATAAGAGGCAAGAACATGTTTTAAATTGTTTATATTTTTATCATTATTATTATGGTTGGTCCCATAGCCAGCCATTTGTTTAGTCTGGATTTGGCATTTTTATCCACCTATCCAGTCCTTCCCAATGACCTGGGATAGCCAGATTTTATTGCTCTTGGACATGGTACCAAGTGCCCCAGTGACAATGGGTATCACTGTTACATGTTTCATCCATAATTGTGTAGTTTCGATGGCCAGATAGAGATATTTCATGATTTTTTTCCAGTTCTTTTTCTTCGACTCTGATGTCTCCTGGTACAGTGATATCAATAAAGTGTATTTTTCGGTTTTCGACAACTGTGATATCAGCCTCCTGGTGCAGGGCTTTGGGCGAAGGCTGGAGGGAAGTGCCGCTGGTGGCAAGGAGGCAGAGGACCTTGTTCCAGTGGGACTGCCTCATGGCCTGGAACTGGCTGACCATCTCAGCCCACTGAGCCTCCAGGCGCAGGCCCGTGGCCTTGCACTCCTGCAGGTCTTCCCTCTGCTTGGAAAGCCTATGCTCCTAGTCCTGAGTGAGGTGCTTCTGCTGAGCCTCCTTCTTGGTCAGATCCAATTTGAACTGAGCCAACTGTTTTGCCAACTCTTTCTCATGGTGGTTGCTTAGCTCCAACAACTGCTTCCTGTTGGGGCCTTACGGAGCCCGGGTGGGGAGGTAAGGAGTGGCCTGGAGGGGAGGGGTGAGTAGAGGCCAGTGAGGCGCCCTTCAATGTGAGTGACATCGAGTTGGCCACGCCCACCCAGTCACATGACCACCTAGCCACGCCCACCCAGCCAGTCTTTAGGC